TAAGTGAACTGCTGTTGGCACTAACAAAATTAAGTTGCATGAAGGTTTTCTGTAGGAAAAAGCCCTGCTTCCAACAGAACAGAATTTTGTGATGAAAATTTTCTTTTCTATAGAGGCAAAAAGACCATAATTTTTCGGGGGGGGGGGGAAAGTCTCAAAGGCAAACTTGGGGTTTCTTGCTGGAGTGCATGTCCCATTATGTGCCAATGATAAGTAGTCTTATGGTATGCTCATCCTGTTTCGCCTTAATGGAAAGAGAGTTGCACCACAAGAAATGTGGTCTGGCAGAAGAACCCTGAACACATGGCGTAAAGGGAGATTTCTGCATTTCCATTTGTGTGTTTCTGTTTCCAGGCAAGGTGTTTCTTGTCCTTTCTGTTTACCAAGAAGCTAAAAACCGTAACACCCCCCAAAAATGCCCCAACTCCATAGTACTTTTAAAAATGATACGACTTCCATTCAAATTTTGCTCTAGACATGGAAAAAGTACACGGGGTATATATCTGTATGGTAAAAATTCTGCTCAACCTACATATGCAAAGTACAGGCTTGAAGATTTACCATGTTCATAATTCACATCCTTGTTGTGTGTGATGAACCTTTTTCATTGTAGTTTCGATTTGCCAGATGTTCAGCTACCATTTTCCAGGAAAGTAACATTGACTGGGGTTTAAGGAAATGATTAATTCTTCATTTACAGTGTTGGAGAAGGGAAAATATGCAAATGCTCTTAAATAACACTTTCTTACCACACACACAGTTAATTGGATAAAGACATGCTAGTGTGCATATATGATTCTGGGTATGGATGCAGGAGATTAAAAAATTTACAGGTTTTGACCCTGTGTAGTGCTGGTAAAACCCACTCCTCTTACAAATACTCCTACACAAAGCAAGGGAAAGCTATGTACAAGGAATAACTGGTGTTATTTTTGCATTTATTGTGTTTTTTGGAGGACAAGCAAAAGATGATTTGGAGGAACTCAAGGTACCATCTATTTTAATGTCTACAATGAATAGTAATACATAATTACGATAAATAAAGGGGAAGAAATACATAAATACGTATCAAATCCTATTCCTCCAATCTCTTGCTTGATTCACTGCATACTTTCTACCATGCAGCTTCCTGTCATTTTATGTTATTCAGTGTTTACTATGCCCTGACTGACAGTCCCACCTCTCTCAGCCTTTCCTCATGTCGTGGTTTAACCTGTTGGCAACCGAGCACCACACAGCCGCTTGCTCACTCCCCCCTCCCCCCGGTGGGATGGGGGAGAGAATTGGAAGAGCACAAGTGAGAAAAACTTGTGGGTTGAGATAAAAACAGACCCCCCAGCCAGCTTTCCCCCAGTTTATGTACTGAGCATGACGTCACATGGTATGGAATGTCCCTTGGGCCAGTTTGGCTGTGCCCCCCTCCCAGTTTCTTGTGCACCCCCAGCCTTCTCAGTCAGTACAGCATGGGAAGCTGAAAAGTCCTTGACTAGTGTAAGCATTACCTAGCAACAACTAAAACATCGGTGTGTTATCAACTTTGTTCTCATCCTAAATCCAAAACACAGCACTGTACCAGCTACTAGGAAGAAAATTAACTCTATCCCTGCCGAAAGCAGGATACCTCATATGAGAGATGTGCCAGTCTCTTAATAATGTTAGTGGCCCTTTGCTGGACTCTCTCCAGTAGCTCCATCTCTCTCTTGTGCTGTGGAGCCCAGAACAGGACACAGCCCTCCAGCTGTGGCCTCAGCAGTGCTGAGTAGAGGGAAGGGATCACCTCTCTCGACCTGCTGGCAACACCCCTCCTAATGCAGCCCAGGATGCCATTAGCCGCCTTTCCTGCAAGGGCACATTGCTGGCTTGTGTTCAAATAGGTGTCCACCAGGACTCCCAGGTCCTTCTCTGCAAAGTCTTGTATCAATACCTTTTTTATCTACCTATACTTATCTATAATTTATTCTAACATGGCACCTTCAGTTACTGTAAATCTACACAGAGATGAAATCTTATATAATGATTTTTTTAGTTTACGTATCCTGCACCTATGCATGATATATGTACACGTGAGTAATGTTTTCTGCTTGATGTGACAATCCTTACGTAATGAGAAATCTGGAAAGCATAGAATTTCGCTACCTGATTGATAGATGTTTTTAGTGAGACCAGAAAAAATCCTACTGCTTTCTAAACAGAACTGTTGACAGCTTCCTTTCACTTCTAATTTTGTAATCCATTTCTGGATGAGTTTTTTGGAAGAAGTCATTATCTCACATTCCTGGTTTATGTGAAAACCTAACCTGACAATAGAACAGTTTTTAAGAGGTGTCTAATAGTTACTTGTGGGTATGGATTAGTAGTCCCCATTTTTGCCTTTTGTGTTTGTAGCATCTTTTTTTTTCTATTATAACACTTGTTTTCATGGCACTGATAAATATGCAAAGAATTGAGGAAATCTCAGAAAAACTTTCCAATTCATTAAAATATTTAATAACTAATTTGGGTGTGGCTATGATGTAATAGAAAACATTAACATGTGGGCTAGTAATGTAATTTGTCTCAATATATTTTCTTTTTTCTTTCCTTGGCACAATTCCCAGAAAATTATTTTCTCTTTCCAAGTTTTTCGCTCAGTATTTTATTTAAAAAATAAAAAATACTTTAACAAAATCTTTTTGTCTCCTATATTAACCTTTGATTTACTGTCACTTTAAATATTTCCCACTTCTTGGACTCATATTGCCAATTTCTTTCTCTCTTCACGGAGAATATTTTGCAGTTCTTGAGCCTGAGTCCGGGATTACAGAGCAGTAACAGTAAACTATCAATTAAGCTTTCTTTTCTTCTTTTTTTAACAGATGGAGTCCACAGGTTGCAAGTTGTATTTAGTTGCATGGAATAGCCTTGCCTATGTAAAACACAGAGGACAAAATGTTACTTTCTTTTTTTGACTAGCATATGTAGGTAGCTCATCAGTATATACTGAAGTCATCTTGAGCGTCCAACCTGCTTTCACGCAATTATTTTTCTGTTGTCTTAGTTTGCTCTGTAAATAAGGTACTGACATTTAATATTTTTCAAAATGTCCTATCTTAACTGAGAAAGATACCCTTCAATTTTATTTTCTGGCTTTTAAAATATATCTCAGTGGGTTCAGAAAATCCATGTTACAGAAATCATAGGTGTGTCCCAAGCAAGCATAGCATCTGTTTTAGTCAACATGAGCACAAAACAAATGGGAAAAATACGAATCACAAATATGCTATGTACAAATTGGTTGGCACGAAAGTTGATTTGACTAGCTATAGTAGTATATACATGTAAATATTTTAAGTACTGGAAACAGTGGAGCTGTTCCACACTATATGGCACCTCAGGACAATCATACTGAGCTTGACTTTAAACCATTAACTTCCTTTCTTATTTTATCTTTGTTCCAATAAAATACTCCAAGCTTTTAATTTGGCAGGAGGTGGTAAGAGTATCATCATAGAAAGGTCTGGGACAATTGCCTAATATGCATTTCCTTCAGAGTTATGATGCTTAACTTCTTACATTTTTGAACTGTATTAGGAAATTAAATAATTTCTCTTTACCGTTAATGTAAAAGTTCATAGCCCATATCTCTTTGAAACACAATTGTCTGTCTCTGTTTCCAAAGTGCAGATTCAGTAACAAAACAGCTAAAACGCAGCAATATGATTTGCATACTGTAAAAACCTGTAGATGCCACAATGCTGGTACATTACACATTTGATCATCATGGTATGGCAGTTTATTTACGCACTCAGCTTTTAAAAAAACTCCTAAACGTTTTTTGCTGTCTGTTAATAGTTTCCAACTTACATGGATTTTAATAGGCTTTAAAAACTACCCTGAAGGCTGTTGCAATGTTTAGCAAGTAATGAAATAATTCACATTAGTCATGCTTACCATTGAAGTGTTTCGTAAGTTTTGGTAGAAAGAAGCCTTGACAGAAGCAAGCATGTTACAAAAGAAGCAATTAAAACTTCTGCTGAATAGAAGTGTTTGCATTGCTGCCCCTCTCTAATTAATAATCAAGTCAGCAGATGTTCACCTTTCTCTTTTTTTTTTTTTTTTTTTTTGTAGAATTTAGGCAGGAATAAGATGCTTTATGCTTTTCACTTCTGTGAGACTATGTCAGACACCCCATTGCATGCAGATACCGGATAATTTTGAAGCTGGAGATAATACTGGAGTGTGGTTACAATTTGGTATAATAGCTTTGCAGTGTGATGAAAAATGGCCTATAATATATGTAATTTTGAAGTGGATGTACACACTGCTGAAGTTCTATTCAGTTTAATCAGTCAGAAATTTCGCACGCACACCACCTGATCATTAGTATATTTAATACTGTCACCATAGAGCTAGAGGACTTGTATTTATGCTATCTGGATTACTACCTAATACACCCCACATTCTATCTAATACACTGTATAGGAGACAGTATTTCTCATGTCTTGAGTTGTCTAGTATTGCTTAATTAAGATACTGATGCACAATTTCATATTAAAGGTATTAAACAACTTGGATAGCTATATAATCCTGAGAATTTCCATAATAATTTATACTGAGTTCTGGTTGGACACCATGCTGAACAGCACAACTCAGATGATTGTAAATACCTGTGTTTTAGGCATATCAGTATAATAGCTAAGCAAAGTAGTTTTATAGAAGAGATAATATCTTTTATTAGAAAAACTTGGAGGAGGGAGGAAGAGATAGTAAAGGATTTGGGGTACACAAGTTGATTATACAAGAAGGTAGATAATAAGTAGTGTTGCATACTTACCTCATATCCTCTTTTTTCATCATATTAGTAGGTCAAACTTGATATATTTATAAAATTTTCAAGTTTTGAAATGGTGAAGCACCTATTAGAAGACAAAAAATGCACTACAATCAGTAATAATACCTGTTGTAATTGTATTAAAAACAGAAAAAGTAACAGATTATTTATTTTATTTAATACTTTACAGAGATACCAATGTGTTTGCTTGCCTGGATGGGAAGGAACATTTTGTGAATACGAATCAAATGAATGTAATTCAGAGCCTTGTAAAAATAATGGCACCTGTATGGATCTTTTCAACAGCTATCGGTAAGTGTTGCTTCTTCTCACTATATAATGATGTTCCAGGAATGACAGACTTATGCATCAAGTTATTCTTTCATTTCTCAGCTTGGGGAATGGAATGTTATTACACGAAGACGAGCAAACAACTTGTGTCATGGATATGCTGCTTCACTGCACATTGATTTGAAGTCAGCAGACATAATTAATTGTAGAAGGAAAATTTAAAAAATGCATCAATTCAAAACACTTAGCAAGTAATCTAATCTGGAACTGTGTTTTGTCAAAGAAAATACAGGATCTCTTTCTGTCATATATGCCCTATAAGCACAGGAGATGCTTTAAGAGTAAAAGTAGTGGGAGTGGACATAGTTGTACAATTTAGATGAAGAGATTATATCATTGCTGCCACCTTGTGGCTTAAAATGACAACAAAATAGTAATTTAACTAAAATTTACAGCCACACTGGGAGAAAGCATGAGGATTTGACACTAACCGTATTATTTTTTACTCAAAACCCAATCATGCATGCATTTATGATTTAAAAATTATTTTGTTTCAGTAGTATGAGTATAAGGACTCCATAAACAAATAGCAATCAGCTTCTGTTATTTGTAGTCAGGGTTTACCTATATTATGATGTCAATACTAGAACAGTCCTGTATCTGAATGTAAACTCTTAATAGATACTGATATAGCTGCATAAAGAACACAATGTAATGACTGTACACAGTACACAGTGTAGTTGTTGTGCAGTGAGTATATGCCTGGTAATAGAGGCATTAATCAGAAAGAAAACCTACCACAGTTGAAAACAGACAAACGATTCCCCAAATAGCCAAAGATAAACTAAACTAAGTTAAATAAAATATTTATTATAATATAACGTAATATAATTTTTTGCATTAGTTTATGTCCAGAATTCAGCTGAAATACTTTGCGTTATCCTAGAGCTGCATTTTTATGTAGTATTAGATGTGCTATTTTGCTAAATTTTTTTCAGTCCAATAACAGAAAAAGAGTCTAGTGAGGTTGAGAAAATTTGTTAAAGTATTTTTAATTGCTTTTTTCACTTTTTTAAGTCTGTTGGGACATAAAACAATTTGTTAAAGATTTTTTTATTTTTGTAGTTTTTTATTTTTGTAGTTCTTATTTTTGTGAAGTTTGTAGTTCTTTGTAGTCTACTAACAAAAAATAATCTTATAACTGCATACTGTTTATGTCTCATCAGCTGTTACATCATGGCAATTTGAATTCTTACATGATATAATGGATTGTATAGGCAAATGTACAGTTTCACCATCCTCAAGGACAATTCTAGGTGCATGAATATTTTGCAACCATGTATCATTACCTATCCTTACATTTTACCTATTTTTTCAGCCTCTGGAAGCATTATATATATTGCAGAAGGTTACATGGCTTCTCTTGATTTTGTTCATAGCTGGGTTAACAACGTATGAGCAAATCCAAGGACTCCCTATTGTTTAATGAGAAAAAAAACGCTCAAAAAGTACTTTTTCTGGATTTGGCAAATGCTGAACTGTTACAGGAAATGTTTACAAGAGAATTGGTTTGACCTGTAAGCACCACACATATTTTTCCTCAGAGCTCTTTGTCCTAGTTGACATAACAGAGCAGGAAAATTAGACTTATCATTGAATCATCATATACAAGCGTCATGATAAGCCAAACACAACTTTTTCATAGATACCTGTAGTTGAAACTGGGAGTCTAAGACTTGGCAACCACAAGGAATATGAGTCTAGACCAATGTTTTTGTTGTATAATCTAAAGCAATTTCATTTCAATCATTAGAGTTGTCCTAGTTTATACTCACAGATGTTACAAGACATTCTGCTTTTTTTCACAATTACTGTTACTTAGTATCAAAAAAGTGTTGGTTTCTATTACCTCTGTTAACACTTTTCTCTTAAAAACTACAGCAACAAGACAAAGCATTCATCTCATGGTAGCTGAGCAGTTGCAGTGACTCGTATGTGATCCTGAGGACATCCAGACATATCTTTAAAATTAAATGTAGTCTTTAAAACAGGATAACTGGATTCTAACTGCCTAATAGAAAAGGTCATGAGCATTCTTGAGCTGTGCCTAGCCATTGTTTTGGACAAGCACTAGTTGGTCTGGACTAAAGTCAGGCCAGGAACTGCTTTGAGAATGCGACAGTGATAAACAATGCAGTTTCCTTGCCTGTGGCCATGTTCTGGCACTGTTTATTTTCCTGGTGTAAGTTTAGCTGCTGGCAATGATACTTAGAATTTTCTGAATTTCTTCAAAGTTGGCCACACCACTGCTGGTACTTGATATCACTTCTAATTTAAATAATGTAACAAATGGATAACACAGCTTTCTTTTATGCCTTTGATAATACTCATTAGTTTACTTTCTCTTAAGTATTTGCAGATCCATCTGAAAATATCGGTTCTCGAAAAACTAGGTAATTTATTGTGCAACAGCATAAAAAATACATTTTTGTATAGGAAAAAATCCAGAAAAGAATATAATACAAAAGGGAATATTTTTGTACCAAGTTTCAAATCTGTAATAATGAGAATAATAATAGAAACCATAATTACTAATTAAAAATTTCTCTTTTAAGTTCATTTATTTATCTGGTGCTATTGCAACTTGTGTCATGGATATGCTGCTTCACTGCACATTGATTTAGAGTCAGCAGACATAATTAATTGTAGAAGGAAAATTTAAAATGCATCAATTCAAAACACTTAGCAAGTAATCTAATCTGGAACTGTGTTTTGTCAAAGAAAATACAGGATCTCTTTCTGTCATATATGCCCTATAAGCACAGGAGATGCTTTAAGAGTAAAAGTAGTGGGAGTGGACATAGTTGTACAATTTAGATGAAGAGATTATATCATTGCTGCCACCTTGTGGCTTAAAATGACAACAAAATAGTAATTTAACTAAAATTCCCAGCCACACTGGGAGAAAGCATGAGGATTTGACACTAACCGTATTATTTTTTACTCAAAACCCAATCATGCATGCATTTATGATTTAAAAATTATTTTGTTTCAGTAGTATGAGTATAAGGACTCCATAAACAAATAGCAATCAGCTTCTGTTATTTGTAGTCAGGGTTTACCTATATTATGATGTCAATACTAGAACAGTCCTGTATCTGAATGTAAACTCTTAATAGATACTGATATAGCTGCATAAAGAACACAATGTAATGACTGTACACAGTACACAGTGTAGTTGTTGTGCAGTGAGTATATGCCTGGTAATAGAGGCATTAATCAGAAAGAAAACCTACCACAGTTGAAAACAGACAAACGATTCCCCAAATAGCCAAAGACAAACTAAACTAAGTTAAATAAAATATTTATTATAATATAACGTAATATAATTTTTTGCATTAGTTTATGTCCAGAATTCAGCTGAAATACTTTGCGTTATCCTAGAGCTGCATTTTTATGTAGTATTAGATGTGCTATTTTGCTAAATTTTTTTCAGTCCAATAACAGAAAAAGAGTCTAGTGAGGTTGAGAAAATTTGTTAAAGTATTTTTAATTGCTTTTTTCACTTTTTTAAGTCTGTTGGGACATAAATTTTGCATTAGTTTATGTCCAGAATTCAGCTGAAATACTTTGCGTTATCCTAGAGCTGCATTTTTATGTAGTATTAGATGTGCTATTTTGCTAAATTTTTTTCAGTCCAATAACAGAAAAAGAGTCTAGTGAGGTTGAGAAAATTTGTTAAAGTATTTTTAATTGCTTTTTTCACTTTTTTAAGTCTGTTGGCTCATAAAACAATTTGTTAAAGATTTTTTTATTTTTGTAGTTTTTTATTTTTGTAGTTCTTATTTTTGTGAAGTTTGTAGTTCTTTGTAGTCTACTAACAAAAAATAATCTTATAACTGCATACTGTTTATGTCTCATCAGCTGTTACATCATGGCAATTTGAATTCTTACATGATATAATGGATTGTATAGGCAAATGTACAGTTTCACCATCCTCAAGGACAATTCTAGGTGCATGAATATTTTGCAACCATGTATCATTACCTATCCTTACATTTTACCTATTTTTTCAGCCTCTGGAAGCATTATATATATTGCAGAAGGTTACATGGCTTCTCTTGATTTTGTTCATAGCTGGGTTAACAACGTATGAGCAAATCCAAGGACTCCCTATTGTTTAATGAGAAAAAAAACGCTCAAAAAGTACTTTTTCTGGATTTGGCAAATGCTGAACTGTTACAGGAAATGTTTACAAGAGAATTGGTTTGACCTGTAAGCACCACACATATTTTTCCTCAGAGCTCTTTGTCCTAGTTGACATAACAGAGCAGGAAAATTAGACTTATCATTGAATCATCATATACAAGCGTCATGATAAGCCAAACACAACTTTTTCATAGATACCTGTAGTTGAAACTGGGAGTCTAAGACTTGGCAACCACAAGGAATATGAGTCTAGACCAATGTTTTTGTTGTATAATCTAAAGCAATTTCATTTCAATCATTAGAGTTGTCCTAGTTTATACTCACAGATGTTACAAGACATTCTGCTTTTTTTCACAATTACTGTTACTTAGTATCAAAAAAGTGTTGGTTTCTATTACCTCTGTTAACACTTTTCTCTTAAAAACTACAGCAACAAGACAAAGCATTCATCTCATGGTAGCTGAGCAGTTGCAGTGACTCGTATGTGATCCTGAGGACATCCAGACATATCTTTAAAATTAAATGTAGTCTTTAAAACAGGATAACTGGATTCTAACTGCCTAATAGAAAAGGTCATGAGCATTCTTGAGCTGTGCCTAGCCATTGTTTTGGACAAGCACTAGTTGGTCTGGACTAAAGTCAGGCCAGGAACTGCTTTGAGAATGCGACAGTGATAAACAATGCAGTTTCCTTGCCTGTGGCCATGTTCTGGCACTGTTTATTTTCCTGGTGTAAGTTTAGCTGCTGGCAATGATACTTAGAATTTTCTGAATTTCTTCAAAGTTGGCCACACCACTGCTGGTACTTGATAT